TTGTATTTTTTCAAAAGTAGTTATTCTATTTAGAGTAATAAGGCAAAATCTTCATTTCAGTAGCTCTTGCCAACATACAACTGAGGACTTTCATCGATATGAAAAAGAGATAGGGAGACAAGGGGCCCCCTTGTCGTAGCCCTTTTTTTGCTTTGAAATACCCTGTTAATCCTCCATTCACACAAATTTTAAATGTAGCAGAGTTCAAGCAGGTTTTAATCCAACCGATAAACTGCAAAGGAAACCCCATAGCCTCTAACACAGTAAGCAAAAACCCCCCAATCAACACTGTCGAAAGCCTTCATTATATCCACCTTGATAGCACATCTAGGTGACACATCCTTCCTTCTATACCCTTTAACCAGTTCATGTGATAAGATGATATTATCACTTATCATTCTCCCCTTAATGAAAGCTGGCTGATTTTTACTAATCACCTGGGGTAAACTTCTCCAAGCCTATTGGCTAACACTTTTGACACACATTTGAAATGAGAAATTTGCTTCTCCAATTGGTGAGGCAACCCACCCCACCTCACCATTCCTCGAGATCGAGACGGTTGTGGCTAGCTACACAACCAAGTATGCTCCAATAAGTTCACATGGTTTTGATGATTACCATTATATGTTGCACCCAATAACATGTATGTGCTCTCAACCCAATCATTGCACATGAACGTTGGGTGAGAGGTTTAATTGCATGCATATATTTGTTTTCACTCATCCATTGCACTAAAGTTGATCAATCCTCTAATAATTGCACTTCAAGATTGGGGAGAGTCGTCACTCAACCATTGCACTATATAGTTGACTGAAGTATAATTACCCAACTATTGCACTGGAGTTGGGTAAAAAGTCATCTCTCAACCATTGCACTAGGGTTGGGAGAAAACTTTAATACCTTACAACAACTACAATAGGAAACCACCAAATTGTGTAGCTACAAATGAATTAAACAATTGAGATGGTTTTTCATGAAACTCTATGATGTGCTAACCTCCTATGAATTGTGGCATGGATATATCCCTTAAATCATTATCATTTTCTCCATTTCCTCTCAATAGAGTGACAATATCCAAGGAAGGTGTGATCATATTCCGCCATCATCATACCTATCGACACTATATTGTCGTGGTCAATATGGCTATTCTGGCTATATCGCCACTTTGTGTGATGCCCCCTCCAAAAAATTTAGTCATCATCATAATAATAGAATATCTCACCCACATCAAAGTGTTGTCATCTTGATGTTATCATCATGATCGGTTCCACACGACTGTTATAACTGCCATCAACACTGCCAGTATAGATGCATATGGGGAGCAAAAGTAATCTCAGTAGAATTATCAGACAACGAGAATTCTAGCAAAAATGATAACGAGAATGCTGGAAAACCTAATGAAATATGGAGTATAATGTCAGAGTCTAACGAGAATCGTTTGTGGCTATAACCCATATCAAGGTTTATTTGATGCAAAGATTGGTACATGTGCTCAAGGCATGAATAAAGTTTGTTCATTCTCTCCATTCATGAACAACATTTTTTCATTATCTCCATTCAAATGGACCACATCTTATCTAATATTAGTTCAGATCTCCTCCACATAACGAGCTACGATTGGTTCATCTCTTACATACATGACCCACAATTGGTTGATCACCAACTGTATAATGAACCAACATTGGCTCAGAAATTCTACGTATGGTCTGTTGTCAGCTCGACTCCACCCTTTAATTTCCATGAGCCAAAATTGGTTTGATCTTGTTATATACATACCTAAAAATCCAAGATTGGTTTAGTCTATACTAGCTCCAAATTCATGAACCATGATTGGTACATTTTTTTATATCTCTTGCAATACACGAATTACAATTAGTATGTTCTCTTGCCAAGGTTTCCTGAGGGCCCAATAAAAATGCGATTGTCGCCGCAAAATCTCCTTCGTTCAATATTTACAACAACAAGAAGGGAAACTAATGGACCCCGAATTAAAAAAATTAATTTGACCAAAGTATTTCTAGATAATCCATAATCAGCAACCCACACCGATTACTGCAGGTCGTCTGAGGTCAACCAGGCTGGGGTCAATCACCTCGGGTCACATAGGCCACCCCATGGTCACTACGGCCACCCGGGGTCAATCACCTTGGGGTCACTCCGGTCACCCGAGGTCAATCACCATGGGTCACCTTGGGGTCACTCCGGCCACCCCAGGGTCAATTACCTCGGGTCACCTAGCCCATCTTGGGGTCACTCCGGCCACTTGGGGTCAATCACATTGGGGTCACTCCCGCTACCCCAGGGTCAATTACCATGGTCACCTACCCACCTTGTGGTCACTCAGGCCACCGGGGGTCAATCACCTTGGGGTCACTCCGGCTACCACGGGGTCAATTACCTTGGGTCACCTAGCCCACCCCGGGTTCACTCCGGCCACCCGGGGTCAATTACCTCGGGTCACCTAGCCCACCCCGGGGTCACTCCGACCACCCTAGGGTCAATCACCTCGGGTCACCTAGCCCACCTCGGGGTCACTCCTAGAGCTGGAAGTTTGGTACCGGTATTTGGGTATACTGAATACCATACCGAATTTGTCTATATTTGGTATTACCGAATACACATAATATTTCATGGGATTGGCATTGGGATTGAATTTCAATTGTTATTCGGCATTAGGGATTACGGGATTGGGATCGGTATATACCGAAATACCGATCAATACCGAAATATAAGCTAGTGTCTATGTTATCCTCTCAACTAGACTCTCCCATTCACTACTTCCCGACCCTCAACCACCAAGAGTGTCATTTAATTATACATAGATCATTCCATATCACTATTTTACACTAGTATTAGTCGTCTCTCAACCTCCAATTCGTCAAATTAAAGATTACCAATTACAAGAACTTGAGATCTTAGCTCTAGGCAACTGAAGACTCTTTGCTTAGTCTCTTTGCCCTAAACTCATTTATATTTAATTACTAATTGCAAAGGTAATTAATTTTGTATTCGATAATACCGATTGGGATACCGAGGTACCGATTGGGATACCAAGGTACCGATTGGGATACCAAAATATTTAGGGATTGAGATTGGGATTGATTTTAAGGTGTAATTCGGTATTCGGGATTTCGTTATTTGGTATTGGGATACCGATACCGTCCCGATTTCCACCCCTAACTCCAGCTACCTCGGGGTCAATAATCTCGAGTCACACCAGTCACCCCCGTGGCCAACCACCCCTAGTCACCTCGACCACCTTGGGCTCTCCGCCCACCCCAGGTCACCTAGAACCTTGTTAAAAGGCCACTTCGTCTCCAAATTGAGGTAAGCAAAAAATCCCCATGCCTAGACTCGTGAACACTCGCTATGATTAGCGCAAACATTCATTCTCAACTCCATTCCCTCATCTTTCATTTCGAGGTCATATTCTTCTCCACTCAACTCCCCTCGCTAACTTGACCATTGAAAAGTGTCCTTACCGAGATCGGCCGTTGGACCCTTTTTGTAGGAGACGACCGTAGCTGACATCACGAGAGAAATTCGAGGTGGAAGGTGGTCGTTGACCGACTCAAGTGGCCAACATAAAAAAAAAAAAACTCGACGTCAGCTATAACCTTGACAACAAAAAGAACCAATTTTACTAATTAGGATAATCGAGAACAGGGCTGGGATTGGGGAATTAGTATTGCGTTGCCGCGCCTGCAAATCCGATATCGAACAACCGGGTTTCTGGCGTTAGTTAATTCCGGGTTCCGGCATTCCACCGCGCCAAATTTCCCATCCGACAACCATTACCATCCGGTTAATTGTTAAACCGTTAACTGAAAAACCTAGTCTCACCCCTAAAAATGAATTAGCTCGAAATTGCCATCCTCAGTGGTGATGGGTGTTCATGTAACTACCAAGATAGGGGCACATCTGCGCACTCCAGAACTAAAACTCACGCATGCCATGAAAGACTCCTCAATTTCAACATTACATACCTGCTCTGCTATTTACTCTTCAGGGATACCTTAAACGATTCAATATTTAAAGAACTGGGCAAGGTAGAAAGATGAAGAGAACGTTTTGCACTGTATGTTGGCATCACAATTCACAACAGTAACCCCTAGGTTGTTTCACTTTTCCAGTCACAAATACAGAACTACACAACCAAACCAAAGAACAAAGCCAACATGTGCACAACGAAAGAAGGCTAGGTGTACAACCCATTATTCCTGTTGAAATTTTTGGTTGGGAAATACAACCACCAAATCATTATTCTTCCCCTACACAACTGCATTAGACACATCATAAGAACCAACAGGGTGGGGTAGGGAGAGACAATTAATATCACATCTGAATCACAATAGTACAACACTTGGTCATAGGTTATCAAACTTCTTCTGCTCTCCCGGGAGAGCGAATTGAGCAGAGTATACACAGTTTCCTCGAACGCTTGAAGTAGGGCAAGTAGCCACCGCCAAATCTTCGGATGATTGGCAAATACCAAAGCCAGCATCCTCGAGGATTTCGAACGAACCTGGTCTCACATGTTACTAAGAACACGTTACTCTAACAACTTCAAAAGACAACACCTTCAACTGAGCAGCTGCATTTTGAAGGCCCGATCAATGCCTCCTTGATCCGAAAGCAGCGAGCTGAATTCATACATTTCCACAGCAATGGCCAATGCGTCTCTTACTACCTTCCTTCCCACTTTCTCCATCTTTTATTTCTGTTTTTCACCAAAGCTGAAAGTTCACGAATGCTGAGCCTGAAGTCAGCATACTCAACAACACAGACAAATGCATGGGTGCCACCTTTCTCCTTTTCTTCCTCTTCTTTTCCATTTTGTATTTTCCTTTTTTTTTTGCCTCATAAAAGCAGCAAATATACAACTCTACGAAGAGCATGCCTCCATGGATAGGTAGAGACCATAGACTGAAGTACAGCAGAAAAATATGCTATCCGTGACAGACTAACAGTAGCTGGATGATCCTGTTTTCTTCACCGTTTCAACTGGCACTTCCACAAAATGCGCAAAGCAACTCCAGGCAGAAAGTTTCTTCATATTCACTATCATTGATACACCGACCACACTGAGCGCAACGTAATATGCAAAGTGTGCATGCTCGGCAGGCCAAAGCTGAATGTTTCCCTTGCTGGCAACTTTCAGCAGGGCAATCATAAACCAACCTATGGTTATGGCATCTCAGGCACATTTCGATATCGATGGCACGATCATCATCACATGGCAGATAAGGGCTTGCTCTGTGGTAATAGAGTGGCCCTCTGGCTTTCTGCTGCTTGTTGGGATCAGCATCCAGCATTGACTTTAACACTTCATAGTGGTCGTGTGTCACTCCATAGACCCCTCCAATCCTCAAGTGCTTCAAGCCCAGTTTATCCAAAGCCTTGAGTTCTTTCAAAATAGTCACAATGCTGTCGACATTGACTCTAGAACATCCGGGCACACTCAGCTGCAAAAAAGATCAAATACAAACAGGGCTCGAGAATTAACACACATTGCCAAAGAAATGAGAAGAAATGTTCACCATAGATGGTGTAACCATAACATATTTTGAAAAGCAGGTAGATAGTAAAAGCATTATACAGAGAACATGAATCAGCTACAGATTATAAGATAATATATTTATGTAACAACACGTTGCAGGAAGCAAGTAAACAAAAACCATGGAAAGAAACTAAATTATGCAATTGCCAAAACAAAGAGGGACTTTTTGTGAACATTGAAGATCAAACATAGCTAGGCTCGACAAAGTTTCCCTTTTATAATTTCTTAAACAAAGTAACAACATTACCAAAGCAAAAAGCAATACAACTTTGGTTAACTAAGGACTGCCACCAAAAGCCAAAGAGAGAATAAATTACATCCACACAACAAAAAATGGCACAAAAAGGATAGAATCACAGTTCTCTTTCTACACATAAACAAAAATACCAGAGATTTCAGAATCCAAATGGAAAGCTCAAAGACTCACCTTGGTTAGCTCAGGATTGTTCTCAAGTACATGCTTCAGCCCAGCATCGGTAATCCATGAACTCTCTACTAGGGTCAAGGTTCGTAGAGTACCTTTAGCCCTATCAGTTATTTGAACAAGAATGTCATCGGTGATCTTCTCACTCAGTGGTTGATCAATGTAAATATTGCTCCAAAAGAATGGCTCAGCTCGAGCTGCAGAATGCAGTGAAGTACAAACCATCTCAACTGACAATAGGTCCCTCAGGCTCAAATGTGCAAGGACTAAGCCAAAACCAGGATGATGGATTATCTCATCTCCATCAAGAGAAGCTCCATCAACATCATCACAACAATCTCCAACGCTCATCTCATCCACTGTAGTAGCAACATCTAAATCGCACACCATCTCATCCCCCAATCTCAAAGAGTCCTCAAGATCCTCTTTTTTCATCTTCTCGTTATTCTCACACCCATCACCAAATCGAAAATCCGCATTTGGGTTAGGGCTAAACTTTGTGCTTGAAGGAAATGCCGCCGCCTGAAATCTCAATGCATTATTCCAAATAAAGTAATTCAACCCAGCAAACAGCTGATACTGTTCGCTGCTCCCCATGACTCCATCCCGGCCATAACCCATCTCCAAATCCTCAAGCCAACCCGTTATAGCAGTAACGGTTGTGCTTATATTCATGCCAAATGGATCCGAAGGCAAAACATCAAGAATGTCCTCGTCCATGACATCCTGAGACTCAGACCGACTATCCCTCCCAAAATCATAATACCCATCCACATTCTCCGCTATGCAGTCAGCAAAGCAACTGCTGCCGACCCTCAAAGGCGACACGAAATTATCCTCTGGAGAACGTGGGGGAAACACCATCCGATGTGAAAAATTTAAAGCCATCGATCTTAACCCCCAATCACAATAGTAACTTGCAGAATACAGTATGGGCGTGTAAAGCAATTACTCCCCACAGCAAGGGACAAAGCGCTCAGAACGCAGAAGGAAAAAAAAAAAGTAACGGGAATCTCAAAGGGTGGAGGCGCAGAAAAGAAACGAATATCCTATCCCATCGCCTAAGTGAAAACCAACACGAGATCTCAAACAAGAAACCCTCAATTTCCGATAGCTAACTAAAACAACGCCAACCAAAAACTTCACTGGAGTCTCTTGTCTCAAGCAGAACCCTAAATTTAGCTCCTAAACACGAAGGCCAAACCAAACTAAACCGTGGGCAAAATTTTCTTCCTCTTCTTATGTACACAAATCGAGGAATTAAAAAGAAATTAGTAATGATAAACGAATGGATCTATCTCTTCCCCTTCCTTTCTTCTTCTTTTTTTTATTTTCTACTACTCTTCTCGAACTTTTTTCTCTTCTTCTTTTTTTTGTTTCACCGATTCCTCCTTCCTCGCCACTAGGGTTTGCAAGAAACGGGGCGGAAACGCCTCCGGAAACCGAATCAAGAGATTCGCCAATAAGGAAACAGACTGAATCGGGAAAAAGTAAAAGGAGTGCAATTGAGAAACCCTAACTCAATTCTCGGTGCGAAACAGCAGCCCCCAGATAGTTCGCTCCCGCTCAATCTCAACTATCAGCTTCACGAATTAGAGAAACTCCCTCCCTTCTGCTTATTGGGTTGTGAATTTGTGATGCTGGGTGGACGGTGATGGCGGCGGCGGCGGGGCTGAGCGGTGGTTGGAAGGTGGGATTTCGATTTTCGATCCAGAGAAGGAAGAGAGAGAGGAGGCGATTAGAGAGAGAGAGAGAGAGAGAGAGAGAGAGAGAGACGGAGTTCCGTCGACCGGGTCCCGTGGGGGAAAGGGAGAGGAATTTAGATTTAGAAGCGAGCGGAAAATTCTAATTTCTATCTAAATTTTTTTTTTAGAAAGAGAAAAAGAAAATGATTGAAGGAAGGAAATTAGGAAATGTAAACGGAACGGAACGAAAACGAAGGGAGGAAGAAGAAAGGAAATTTGTCCGGTTCCGGAAACGATGGTGAAAGCGGGCCGGGCTGATCGTGGGCTTGGGTTTGGAGGATGAGCTGACACGTGTGAGGGTTTAACACGCGGGAAGTGTGAAAACGGAATGGCGGGGGACGGTTTTTTTCTGTTTTTTCATTTTCGCGGGGTTTTATTGTTGATTTTCGCGGTATTTTCTCGCAAGTCGAGGAATTCAGAAACCTTGCGCTGGAAGTTAGATGCAACGTTGGTGGGATAAGGTGTTGACAAGTAAGCGTTTTGATTTGGATGTAAAGGTGAGTGGACACATCAACGTACACCGTGTTAATTTATGAGTCACGAAACAGAGCTGATAGGATTAGGGATGACAATTAAATTCGGATTTTCGAGTGTTCAATCTGACCTCACATGATTAAAATGGATAAAATCCAGTGTTGATGGGTACAATTTTACCCATTTTTTGATTGATCATTTGGATCAAGTGTGCATTTTGTCAATATCTAACCCACTTTTCACCTGACACACACAAAAAAAAAATGACGTTGTTTTGTATCCATCTCTAATATAATTTTTTTTTTGTTGAAATACCACCGCATTAAATTAATTAATCATCAAAAGGGTTTGTAAGGTAATTCTCTCTAAAGAGAGGTACAAGAAACACAGGTGGACTATCAATCCACACCTACACTCAACTTGGGCCATCAAATGGGCCTCTATTCTTTTCCCGGCCTGCAAACCTTCACAGGATCTTCTCGCACTGGCAAGAACCAGTTGATCCCAATAACTCGAGTTATTGGGATCAATTGGTTTTTGATATGGTATCAGAGCCTTCTGTGACCGAGAGGTCTTGTGTTCGATTCCCGGTGATCCCCATTTGTTAAGCACATGGTATTCTTGTCTTCATACCTATGCAAACTTCAAGCACTTGTGAGTGACTTTGAGGGGGCGTGTTAGTGTTGTGGTATATGATCCACGATTGAACCTCTCCCAACAACTCGAGTTATTGGGATCAACTGGTTCTTGACACTCCTGGCCTTGAGCCCGCAAATCTGAGCAGAAGAGTCTCATCTCTATTCTTCCTTCGTCTCCCCTCTGGAATTGTTGAATCACCCCCAAGCAATCCGATTCCATCTCTATTTCCCGGACACCAAATCTCCTTGCCAGCTCCAAACCATACTTCGCCTTGGCCTCTGCCGCCTCCGGTTCCCACTGAATCTACGAGCGTTTAACTACTGAAAACAAGCACCTCCCATCCATGCCTCAAAACACTGCACCCCATCTCGTTCCATGATCTGGTATGCAAGCAACATCAACATTAATTTTGACCAGAGCCCGTTTTGGTGGCTGCCATATGTTATCCTTAGCCCTCACCGGTGATAGGGGTGGGAATTCGGTCAGTTCAGTTTTGACCGAACCGAAATTATGAATACCGGGTCCCCCAATTTTCCCAAATCTCAAATCGAATTCGAGCCAAATTATGATTCGGTTCGGCCGGTCTAAATCAAATTATAATTCTGTTCGGAATTTCACACAAAACCAAATTTGTGAGGCTACTTGTATCTTGTCCCTTTTAAATTATTTTTCACCCCTAATATAAACAATATAATATGCAATTATATGCATCATCAGTAATAAAATCAAACATTTCAACACATAAGTCATAAACACTAATATGATTCAAATATTTAAGTCTAAAAACAACTACAAACATAAAAATCCACCATTTGGAGCTTGCAATTATAATAATTCGATTTTTCTATCGGAATTTTGGAATTTCGGTTGAAAGAACCATGATTTCCTAAATATTCATATTTCCTTTCCAAATTTCGAACCGAATAACATTATTTCGGTTTCGGTTTCAGTTCGGTCCGGATTTACCGAACCGATTGCCCACCCCCTATCGGTGGATCTATCCGTAATTGCTTCTCCAAGTAATTGCTCTAGGCATGATTTCCCATTCTTCCAACTTCCTTTTATTCCACAATTGACTATTCCGTTGATCCCAGATGTACCAGAGCGACACCAGAAAGGAACCTAGTGTTTCCTGAATGTCACATAACCATTCTTCCGAGGTAAGATTCTCTCCTCGCTCAAATAGCATTGTCATGAGACTATTTCTTCAAACCCGTCGAACCCAGCCACACTCCCTAAGAATATGTTCTTGCGTTTCTCTTAGATCACATAAAGGGCATACCTTGGTGCCCTTTTGAGTCCTCTCTAGAATCCGAGCGCCCGTAGGAAGTTTGTTTCGTATCCAGCACCACGCGAACAGCTTTACCTTCGGTGGGATGTTTAAGCCCCACACCTTCTTCCAATTCACCAACGAATAGAATTCACTTTCCATTTCTTCATTCCTGGTTTCCCATAGTTGATAAGCCGACTTAATATTATAATCCCCTGACTTTTCCTTGCTCCAGATTCTTGCATCCTCATTAGGGTTCCTAGGGATTGAGATTCTCTTAATATTCCTCCAGTCCATCGGGTTGAAATGAGCCTATGGTAGATCACTCCTCCAACTTCTTGTATCCTGGTCTATTAGTTCCACTATAGAAGTAGAGGTTCCAATGATTGAAACTAGAGAGGTAACCTTGAGATTAGCACTTTATGGTACCATCTTATCAATCTAGATGTCAGTCTTGTGACCATGCCCCAATCTCCATCTCATCCCACGTGTGACTAAATCCTTTGCTACCATCAATGTAGTCAAAAGCGAGTTTCTACGTAGAAACGTTTTGGTGATCTAGAAGCGTAAAATCGTAAGTTTTTAAGTTTTAAAGCGGAGTTTTTAACTACATAAGTTATAAAAACTAAGATTTTGTGTGGAAGCATTTTAGTGACCTAGATAAGGGGATATAGGGGCCCCCTGTCTCAATCCTCTACTTAAGTAGAAAGTCTCTATCTCATGACCATTTACCAAAGTAGAAAAAGAGATGGTAGTAACACAGGCCATCATCATTTGTACTCGTCTAGCTTGTAAACCCAACTTCAGCATGATAACTTCTAAGAAATCTCATTCCACTCTATCGTAAGCCTCAGTAATGTCCATTTTTGCAGCCACAAACCCTTTGCTTCCTTGAGTTTTCGTCTTCATGGAGTGGAAACACTCAAAATCTATCATCACATTATTTGTGATCAGTCTCCTTGGCGTTCTGATTTGGTACAATCACCTCATTTAAGACACCCTTGAGCCTGTTTGCTAGTACCTTAGATAGGATCTTGTAGAGTATTTTGCACAAGCTAATAGGGTGAAAATCCATTGGGGTCTTAGGGTTCTTTTTCTTTGGGATTAAAACAACTAGGGTATGATTAAGCTTTTGAGGGAAACTGCTTGCCTCCAAATATCCCTCTAACTCCGTCGTCACTGCATTCCCCACTATTACCCAGTTTATTTGAAAGAACAGGGCAGGCATAGTATCTGCTCTAGGAGTTTTAGTGGCCCCGTTAACTTCAAAGATGCCCAAATTTCATCCCCAGTGAAGGGTTTGAGCCATTCTTCATTAATAGCTACTGTGACTTTCGGTGGTACAACTTCAATTACAGTGTTAGGCCTGCTCTAGCCCCATAGGTGTTCAATTTTTTGAAAAACTGTGCAATACAGTCCGAAGCTCTTGTTGTCCCTGACAAATTCTCCCATCCTCATGTTTTAACTTCCTAATCATGTTCTTTGCTTTTCTGTCCGTAGCTCTTCTGTGGAAGAACTTAGTATTTTTATCCCCATGTTGTAGCCACTTCGTTCTGGATATTTGCTTTCAGATCAGCTCTTCTTGCAGTAATATGTCTTCCAACTCACTTTCGAGGGCCCTTCTTTGCTCCAAGATTGCTTTTGTTTTGTGCATTTTCTCAATCTTTTCTAAAGTCCTTTCTACTTTAATTCTTCGGTCTTTGAGACTGCAAAAGTTTGTTTGCTCCAACTTTTCAACTTTTGTTCACAAGCTCTAATTCTCCCCATCACTGAGCCAAATCCATTCTCTTCCCATCCCTCCTTTATGACCTGTTTGCAATTCTCGTGGTCTTACCAATGGGCTTCAAAACTGAAGTACTGGCCCCATTTGATATCCTTGACTAGGACATTTGTTTTGAGGAGGATAGGGTTGTGGTCAGAACCATATCGCCTTAGATTATAGACACATATGCATCAAGGTGTAGGTTCCTTTAGGCTTCTATGTCTACCATCCCGTCTAGACGCTCTTCCAAGTATGTCTCATCTTTATGGTTGTTATCCCACGCAATGTAGTCAAAAGTGAGTTTCTAAGTAGAAACATTTTGATGATTTAGAAGCATAATATTGTAAGGTTTTATGTTTTAAAGCGGAATTTTTAACTACGTGATGACTCGATATTTGCACATGTTTTCCCCTTTGTTTCTTGATTGTTTGAGCTTTAATTATCTCGTCTTTGGCCTATTGTACGCTAGGTTGTGTTCCTTTGTTACATTTCAGGTCCTAGCACATAAAGTGAAGCATAGGCGCAAGTTTCAAGTCAATCAGAGATCAATTGGCGATTAGGGAGAAGAAACTCGGGCATGACCTGAAGAATAATGGATGTGTACCTCACTTTATGGACAAATAATCATGCAAGCTTGTCATGAAAAGAAAGAGGACGAGACTACGAGCGTCTGGGATCAAACGGCGACTGATTCGGAGTCCGGACGAGGGAGAAACGAAGCATTGAATATAGGGGAACAGGTTCGGCAGTAAAAACACGGGCGCGCCTAAAGAAAAACACGGTCGTGTCCATATTTAGGCACGGCCGTGTTTTGGCCGACACGGGCGTGTTTTTAACACGGGCCAAAACACGGGCGGGGAAAATCAAAGCACGACCGTGCCCTCGACCGTGTTTTGCCCAGGGTTGGCCTTTTAGGCAGATTTGAGCCAAAGGAGAAGGAATTCCGAGTTTTATAGAGACAGAGCGATTCCTAGAGAGAGAAAGCGACGAACCAGAGTTCCCAAGTGCCCTAGCTTGATCTTCATCACCATTGGATCCCGGCTTGAGCTTGGAGAAGTGCCGATCGACGACCAGGAGCAGAAACCTATCCTTCATAGTATGGTTTCCGCATCTGAATCTGCTTTTGCTTCTTTCTCCATGGAGTAGTTTTCTTATTCATATGGGTATGGAGAACCCTAGATTTGTATGTTAGGTCTGATTGTATGAACCCAAGTACAGATTCTATGATTTGATTATATTCAATTGAGGTTTGAATGATTGAATGGCATGAATCCTGATCAAATTCCTGTTGTTTCTGCTTTAACCTAGAAAGAGGATATCTGCCTAGGTTGATAGAGCACCCTTAATTGAAGGTAGTGAATTGGTGACTTTAGTCGAGGAGCCAATTCACTATTTTGTACCGAATTTACTTCGGTAGTGGAGGTTTAGTTCGTTAGGGCCTCAATCTGTTTACTCCGGTGGAGGTTAGTCGCCCGCTGGGGACTCAGATTGAGAGGGTCTTGAGACCTTTAGTCGAGACTTTAGACTGCTTAAGAACCTCCCGCGGTATAACTATCATTAAAACTGAACTTGGTAAATTGCAATCCGGCTTAGCTGCAGTCTAGGGGGAACTATATCCGAGTGACCTCTCTCGACTTGAAAACAACCGTTTAATTGCTTTGCTTGTTTTGCTTGTTTGAACCTGCACTAAAATTTCACTGCTAAATAATAAGAATTCGCTGAGTAGTCATCACATCTAGGACCCGAGTTGACATTAAAACCCAAACCCTCTATACTATGCTCTAGGAAGTGGTTACACTTGCCCATTTTCTAGAGTGACAGTAGGAGTGAGTCAAGTTTTTGGCGCCGTTGCAGGGGAATTTCTAGAGTATTAGGAACGGCAGAAGTTTGTTACTTTAGCGTTTTTCTTTTCTTTTCTTTTCCACCCTTGCTTTTCACTTGGGTGTTTTTGTTTTTGTTGGTGCAGATCTGAATCATGGATCCTCATGGCTTCTCCAACAATTGGGGGTATCCACCACCACCACCAGAGTAGTATTACCCCGAGACTCCCTGGAGCAATCAAGGAGGAGAAGACTATGGATTCGGATTCCAGTACCAACCCCCTTACTACGGAGAACAACCGGACCCTGGGCATATCAAGAACAACCTCATTACCAAGAAGAATTTCTCCCACAACCAGAAGGGCCATCGGCGCTGGAGTTACCCACGGCGGCCTTCACGGGCCATTCTGCCGAGCCATGCTACACTCCACAGCCAGATCCAAACTATGAATTGAGGCTTTCTCGTGGAGTAGTAGGCTCGCAAGATGGACCTCCTTTTCTCATCTGTTGCTTCTCCTAGCTCTTCATCCCTCCGTGAATCGGAGGAGACTGTTTCGCACTCATCAAAGCAACCAGAGCGGGTTGAGCAAGTTTGTGCACAACTTGCTCAAGATAACTCGTCTGCTACCATACTAGAAGAGGAGGAGGAAGAAGAAGGCTACAAGGACATTGTGGAGCAAACAGAGATTATCACGGAGAGCTCCAGTGAAGATCATGATCAAGAATGTCCTGTCGTAGCCGACCACCCTTTCCCACATCCCACACCGAGCTTTGAAGAGGCGGGCATGAGTGAGGAGATGCAAGAAGATCTCATGAAAGAAATTGCTTGGCAACTTGCTCTCCAATCCGTGCTAGAACAAGAAGAGCAAGAAAGGGTGCAGAAAGAAGTTGTGGAGGATGACGAAAGTGAAGCAGGAGGAGTTCTTGATCATTTCCCAGGGGTGATACCACATGAAGAAGAAAGGGAGGTTGAAGAAGCAATTGGCGTCCAGCCTGAGGACGGAGTAAGGTGGAAGAGGCCTACACCGGCCATGAGTTACATGTGATATCTCCACCAAACTTCGAGGAACTACTTAGCAAGGACCCAATTGCAGTGTCTCTTTGCCAGACCAAGGCCATGGCGACATCGGTCCCTCTTGGTGGACGCGATGGTGGCCAATCGATGATGTCGTATCTAGTTTGGGGCAATGAGACGAGAGAAGAGAAGAAGAGGTCTCGAGGGTGGAGACTTCATCCGCATCAAGTGCACGAGCTTCCATCACCTGTCATACCACATGCTCGTGACTTGAGACTCCACCTCATTGACGAGAACCTCAACTTCAAGGAGGTTTTGGGGTGGACCGAAACTTAGGAGCCATCGTCCGGCTCACGACGTGAAAGAAGCGCTTGTTGGGAGGCAACCCAACCAGTCGGTTTGCATTTCTTTCTCTATTTCCCCTCGGTTGAGTCGGTTTTGTTTTTTGATTTTAGAGTCAATAACTCAACCTTTGTGAGATTTTGTGTGGTGTTTGTGTTCCGACTACTCTCCATGTCAAAATCATTAAATCTTAAACATGGGGTAAGCCCAACGTGTGCGGCACCGTTCATTGCACAAAATCGGGTTTTGGAGGAGATTTTAGTGATCCTTAGTGGGGTACTCCTACAAGGTGAAGCTAAGCTGTCTCTAGTGCAAGTAAAACTTCCACCCGTTGAACGGTTTGCCTACTTGAGGATATGTTTTTAAGGGCACGGATAGAGCTTCCGACCCCCCTTAATTTCATTGACCCTCCACACGAGTTGAGGAAAAGGAGTTAAAAGAAGTACTCTGGCGAGTAGGGGTGGCAGATCGGTTTTCGGTTAGCGGCTAACTGGCGGGTTTAACCGCTAACTGCCGGTTAGTCACTAACCGAAAACCGGTCGGCTATGAGTCTCGGTCGGTGTTCGGCAAGACTAAAGGGTTCTCCGGTTAGCCGAGTAACCGAAGGCGGTTAACCGAGGGTAACCGGCCGACCGACCCAAGACCGAAAATGTAAAAATAGAGGAAGAATAAAGTGGTTGAAAGTAAACCGACCCACAACTTAAAAGTAAACCGACCCCCAAACCCTAAATCGACCTTCTATTCCATTCCACCCTCACCTCCACAGACACCCTGCCTCCTCCTCCGCTCCCTCTCCTTCCACCGCCACCACAACTTCCTCTTGGCCATCGTTCCTGGTTCCGCCGGCGGGAGACGGATCGTCGTCGCGACAACGGACGCAATAACGGCGACGAAGAAGAACTTCGTCCGCCCTCTTCTGACTCCTAGCCGGCCATGCAAGAGGCAGAAGAAACTTTCTCCACCACAAATTCGAATTCGGCCGCCCTCTTTGGTTCTGGCGGCGGATCCAGAAACTTGCTTCTGGTTCTGGAAGAAGAACACTTCGTCAGCCCTCTTCTGACTCCAACGGCGACCTCTGGTTCTGGCGGCGGATCCAACGGCGCCGCGCCTCGCCCCGCCGAGCCTCGTCGCGCCCAGCCGCACCTCGCCGCGCCCCGCCGCGCCCAGCCGCACCTCGCCGCGCCCCGCCGCACCCTGCCGCGCCCCGCCGCTCCTCGCCTGCAGATCTGTTTTCCATGGAGTTCTGTTTCCATGGAGAAAGAAGGTGAGAGTTTGAGAGAAGAAGAAGGAAGGAGAGAGGAGAGATGTGTGGTGCAGAGGAGGAAAGGGGAGAGGATGAGATAAGGTTCGATATAAGTGGTGCATAATTTTTGGTTTCTTAATTTTTGTTTTTTTTCTGTTGAAAATGTATTTTTTTTCGGTTGGCCGGCTAACCGAGCAAAAAACCGGAACCGACCGGTCGGTTGGCCGGCTAACCGTGGCCTCTCTTCGGTCGGTGGTCGGTAGTTATAAGGGGTGGCTCGGTTTAACCAATAACCGGGTTTCCGGTTTTCGATTAAACCGAAACCGACCGGCTGCCACCCCTACTGGCGAGGGCCAGATGTACAGAAATTGCTCTTGCTCGACTAATAAGGGTCGACCGTGCAAAAGACCGCAGTTGGAACCCCCGCTAGGTGAATGAAATGAAAAAAAAAGTGAAAGTGAAAAAGGGGTTCCAACGGTGAAATGAAGTGAAAGAGCACCCCGGTACAACGAGTCCTTGGTTGTGAATGATATGAGTCCCTTTATCCATGAACTGACTGTCTTACTTCTACTTCTTCTCATGATCCTGGCTTGAGTCTAGTACTCGCATTGAGAGAGATAGGGAACATCTTAGAAGACCAGTTGACCTCGTAAGCTGCTTTATGATCTAGAAAATCCTCTACCGACGATCGGGGTTGTTTATTGCTATAGAGGTTTGGAGAGTTGCATTGGTTTAAGTTAGGTTTGCTTGGGGACAAGAAAACGGTTAAGTGTGGGGGAGTTTGATAGACCATTGATTACACATGTTTTTACCCCTATCCTTGATCCGTTTGAGATGTCGATTCTCGCGTTTTAGGCCGATTTCACGCTAGGTTGTTCTTGTTTGTGATATTTCAGGTCCTAGTACGTGAATGAAGGTTTAGGAACGATTTCGGGCTTGATTGGACGAAGTTTAGACGTTTGGCGAGAAGCTGAGAAGCCACACAGGCATGCCTAAAAGCCATACGGCCGTGTAGGGGACCCCTGATGCCCGTGTGGAAATTCCAAGGAACTCACACGGACACCCTGGGAAGCCACACGGCCGTGTGGGTCGTGGCCGTGTAGGAAGCCTGAAGCCACTTATCGAAACGTTGTGTTTTGCAAACTCACATGGGCAGCCTGGGAGAGTCACACGGCCGTGTGGCCTGGCCGTGTGAGTCGGGAATTTCTGGTTTTAAGCCAATTTCGAGCCAAAGGGGAAGGAGAGCTGGGTTTTGGATCCCAAACACCCAAGGGACGAACCAAAGAGAGAGAGGGCGATTTGAGGGCATTCTAAGAGTGTAATTGGAGGATTTATTCGACTTGGAATCTCGAGGAACAAGCCCGGAATTGAAGACTGATCATCTGAAGATTCTTACTGCAGTCTCTCTCTTCTCTATGGAGTAACTTCCCTTCACTTAGGTTTTGAGGAACCCTAGCTATGTTTGTTTGATTGGATGATTGTATGAGTACTCTGACTTGATAATCTTGAGTTCATATTCAATCTATGCATGTTTTCATGATTCAATTCTGCTTTAGTTGAGATTATTGATTCTGCTTTGATCCTATGAGAGCGAATACCTGATTAGGTCAATAGAGCACCATAGATTGATAGTAGTGGATCGATTGCTTTAGTCGAGGGTTGGTTCACTACTTTGTATCGATTGAGAACCTCTTTCGATAGAGGGAGTCTAGTTCAGAACGCCTTGATCGGTTGTTCTAGAGAAGGATACGTCCCTCTAGGCAATTGACTCAAGAGGGCCTTGTTCCTTTAGTCGAGACTCAAGGTCTAGTCAAGGATTCTCCGCATTGTGAATGAAAGTGAAACAAGTTAGAAATCATCAATCGTTAGTCTGGCTAGTGGCTAGAGGGAATCATACCTAAGTGAGTTCCCAACCTGTAATTAGATTAACTTTAACTGTAGTTTGCTAGAGTAGTTTTAGTTCTTCCTTGTTAATCTGGTTTGCTAAATAATAAACTGAAGCTGTGTAATAGTAACTCTAGAGACCCGTGGATTTTGACTACATTGATCCCAGGTAAATGGTTTTCCATAGGATCCTATATCCTCCAACATATAATCCTTCAGGGCTTTAGTAATGGCCCCCATTTCATATCCACTGCTTGGTTGTCTTCCATTCTTTTCAGCATAATGTTGTATCAGATTGAAATCACCACAACACACCCATGGCGTGTCTGTTAGATCTTTCAAATATCTGAGCAGGTCCCACATCAAATGTTTTTTCCTCTGCTCAGGCTAGCCATAAACTCCAGTTAGTCTCTAAAGCTTTCCATCATCTTCAATACTCATGTCAATGTAGTTTGCTGAGTATCCTTTCACTTCCAAAACGAACATCTTCCTGCCATAGGGCCATCAGTCCTCCAGCTCTTCTTACAGACCCAAAACCAAAACCCTTGTACCCCTGAATTTTTGTCACTACTTCCTCCCACTCTTTTCCTGCTTTTTTATTTCCATGATAAACACCACCCTGTGGTTTTGCCTTTGGATCAATCTTGCTTTCTTAACAGCCTCAATCTATTGTGTTTTCTCTGCTTCCCCTTCCTTTAGAGTTGTAGCCATTCTCTTCTTTGGGTGATTTAGATCGTTGCTGCAGGTTTATTGTGAAGTTGTTCCTGCCTTCTCCACACTCTAGAAGTGCTTTTGCCTGCTCGCTTACCTTACATATTCCCCATAACAAACTTTTGTAGTGCCCCTATTTGCTGTTAGAAATCAAACAGGAAAAGTTAGGGTTACCGCTCTGGCTGAGTCGCAGACTAGGTCGCTTTCTTTAAGTCTGTTAGGAATTTCATTTATAGCTTTTCAAAGCTATTCATCCCAACAATTCCCCACTTGAATAGTTTTGAAACTATCTCTGAGCAGCAACAGTTCCATAAGATCGGGCATAAACTAAGGTATCGCAAAGATTTGAACCTTAGCATAGTGGTTACACTTCCGATTCATAAGGGTGAATCGTAGTCTTGAACCCTATCTCAGACAATGTAGCACACCGAATCTTTTCATTGAGTGATATTCTCTCATAGGTTGTGCGTTTATGGACCTGCACGTTATCCCGATTTAGTGAACGCTCTAGCAACTTTGTGCCTCCAAAGTTCCATAGGGAGCGGCCCCACTCCCACATTCACATTTGTGAGTCTATCAGAAGTACCCCCCCAAAGTAATGTACTTCACTCCACATGGAGTATAGATCTCATTAAGAGTTACTATTAACTCAACCTCCAATGCTTTGGGATTCATGCTTCACTATGGATGAACTTTCTCAATATTACTCCTGACTTGTTAATACCCATTGAAATCGTTTCTTGGGATCTCTGGTCCATCGGGTCGGGTTACCGTCACTTGTAATCCATGGTTCGGTAGGCATAAGTCATATACTTCTTACTGGTATTTTGGACTTTCTCTCTAGCCAGTCCTTTCGTCAAAGGACCAGCTAGATTATTTTCTAATTTCAAGTTCATCAATTCGTCAAAGGATAACTAGATTCTCTTTTAAGTGATCCACCCTTACTGCTCCAACAGTTAGGGACTCTCTCTTTCAGTACTATTCTCATGACGAACTTGTCGCCTCTCACTGTTTGTTACGGTTCTATTTAGTAATTGCTATCGCAATGGATCAATACTGGCGGATACGGTCTTTCCCACAAGGGAATCTCTAGTAATGACCCTCTCAATCAACTTTCTTCTTTACTAGCCATTGCTAGTTCTACCATTTCCGATTTCATAGTTGATTGAGCCAGAATCAGTAACTTCTTAGATTTCCAATACATAATTCTTCCAGCGATGTTTAAAACATTCCCACTAGTTGGCTTGGATTTTCTATAGGTATCCCAGTCCGCATCAATATAACCTACAATACAGCAAAACCTTTGAAAAGAAATACCAAGGTTTTCTATTCTCTCAAGGTGTCTCGTGACCCCTTTCAATAGCATTTTAATGCTTCATACTAGGACAATCAGTAAGCCTGCCAAGTACCCCCACTAAATTGGGTCTCATGTTTATCAGCTGCCTCTTGTAGACTGTCGATGCTAGTATATTCTAACTTTCTTACACGGTCTAGGTGTTCTTTAAAAATTTACATAAGCATCATCAAACATGTATGCAGACGTACAACTTGTATTTTCCTAGTCATCATGATCTCCAAACATAAAACTTGTTTGATCTAGATCATTTCTCATTCAAAATTTTCAAACATGTTTTTTTCACGTTATTAATATCATGAATCTTTGTACCAAAGATCTACATGACATTCATAGTGCAAGTGTCATTTTCAAATTTGTACTAAATAACTTGTCACTTCCATTTAAAAACCATGAGAGAGAACCAAATTTTTCATGCCACGATGTCGAGTCTATTTCAAATCATACCATGATTTTTCTAACCATAGACTTTAAAAGCATGTTCAGGAATAACAACCCTTTAGGTTGTCCATGTAGATTTCTTTATCTAAATCACCATTTACAAAATGAAATTTTAATATCCATCTTATGCATCACTAGCAATCATACCATACATGGATGCTATTCTAGATTTGGTGAATAAATATCAAAGACATCCACAATTTTTCCTTCTTCACCTAAAGTTTTAGCTAGTAGGTGATCCTTATAAACTAAACCATCATGTTTTAGTTTTTCCTTTTAAGAATCCATTTATTACCCATGGCTTCATTGCCAAGAGGTAATTCTCAAGGATGCCAAATCTTGTTCGATTCCATCGATATATTACCAAGGCTTTACAACCAAGAGGTAATTCTACAAGTTTCTAAGTCTTATTAGACTCCAATAATTCCATTTCGTTAATAATGGATTCTCCCACAAATCTGCATATTTATGGAAGTTCGAACTTCTAGCAGACTTGTAGGATCTTTCTTTCTTAGGGTGTAAATAACAAATTCATAACCAAAATTCTTTCGTGATTTATGGTTCATTTGTCTCTTCTGAGTTCATACCCAGATTCATCACCCCCACTGGTTATCCATTATTTCTAATAGTAGGCAAGATATCACCCCCACTATTCCTACATTTAAATGGAATGACATCAATGGATTCCACATAACAATGACTATTTCATTTCATAAGCTTATGTGTTCTAGTATTGATCGCACAACCAATAAAATAATATCATGCTCATCTTATCTTGCATTGATTCTCAAACTATACCATATGAAAAAAGCATTTCATAAATAACGCTTTACGTCAAAAGCGTATGTCAAAAACATCACATCTT